GCCTCCTCATCCTGCACCAAAAAACCGCAGGTAATACTACGGGAGACAAGCCGGCACACTCACGTGGCTTCGCGCTCGATCCCACGCAAAAAAAGAAAAAACTTACCATCCCACCCCACCTAAGGCACAGACCTATGGTAGTATGCATATAACCCTAATCCTAAACAAACGCACCAAGTGCTAACCCCTCTGAACGTACGATACACGCATCAAATGAGGCACCAAGAGTGTGTTTAAACAAGTGATTTTGGACACGCTGCTGGTACACCATCTATCAGGCGGTCTGCCGCTGCACCCGATTGCCTCGACACCAATACTGCCGCCAGCTGCGTGCATGTCTCCCACTGCTGTCTGTCGGCCTCGAGTCCACGACCGTTTCGTGCTGATATCGTACTCAAGCTTGGTGCACAGCATGGAGTCCTGTCCGGCTGCACGCCCAAGGTTCGACCACAGGAAAGAGAAAAAGGTGTCCGAATCCCAAGAAAAAAGAGGCAAGGCTCTTCCGGCCCGGACAGTGGCACAACTACATGTGTCGAACTTTCCCCCCCTTCTCTCATAAGTCAGTATGCATACCGCACGTCCTATCATACGTCCTATCCAAGCTGCAGCTCAAGAGCCACAACTACTGATGCTCGTGTGCGTGCCTCTCGGCCTGTTCGTTACCGTCTCTATAAATATGATCAATCTGTCTTGAGTCCACCGCCGCTGGTGTCCGTGATAAATTTGGCGTACAGCAGGCTGTCGGGCTGCACGTCCATGTTGAACGTCGCGTAGATCGCCAAGAAGCCCAGGAGGGCGAGCCCCACTCCCGTCCACATGTTGAGCTGGAACTGGGTGATTTCCACGAGCGAAGTCTCGTTGGTCGCGGCGGATGATGATGAGTCATCGTCGCCTGGAACAGCAAAAAAAAAGTCGTTTTAAAGATAAACAAGAGAAGGCCCTCCGACGATCAGCACAAGAACGGAGGGCCGAGGGAATTCGTCGAGAGAAACTGCACAAAGGAAACACTGCACAAAGGAAACGTCGGGACACGAGAAAGGCGAGCACGAGCACATGATTCCGCATCTGCATGGTGGACCCGTGGGGTCTCCGTGACTACCGAATAAATGGAGATGACGCATCGGAGACATGACAGCCATGACACGCATGCACACGTTTGGCCCGCACATCACGCACATCTGCGCATTTGCTTCGTTATTCGGCGTTTGTCAAGCCCAACTATTGGACTTCATTCACACCAAGAAGTGTCTCATCGCGCGATACATCAGGCACGAAATACGAACGGATCATGAGGTTCAGCAAAAGGCGGCTGAACAACGAAGGCACGCACTTTGAAGGCGGCGGCCGCCGACGGCGAGCTTTTGCGACAGGGCCGGGCCGACGATGAGCTGCGAGGTCAGGCGGCGGCCCGCTCCAGCCGACATGGCGTTGAATGCTTCGCCAAGCGCGGCATCGAGGGCCTTCGACGCCAATCTTGCCTTGATAGACCGCGCACCGTAGGAGGTGTTGATCGCCTTTGGCAAAATATGCGCGCGGGNGGGGGGGGGGGGGGGGGGGGGGGGGGGGGGGGGGGGGGGGGGGGGGGGGGGGGGGGGGGGGGGGGGGGGGGGGGGGGGTCGAAGGGGGAATCAAATCAAGACCGAAGGGCGGCGTACGAGACGATCAGCCAAAGCCTTTACAAAAACAGCAAGCAGCAAGTGGAAAAACGGGACTGAGATAGAACGAGCAAGGGTATTCTCCAAAAATGCAACATGAAACCGCCACCAGGAAGTCTTCTTCAGAAACAAAGCATCAGGTTCGACACACGTTTCAGTGGAGAGGAATGGGTGGATAGTGGGTGGAATGGAGCAACAGTCGTAGCTTCAGTAGCAAAGCCCCCGCCCCTACCTTGAGAGAAGACAGGTATACGATCACCAGGGGGGGGGACCCCGCGCGTCCGGCGACAAGCCGCTCCGACAGCGCCTCGGGAAGTCTGGACAAGAAGCTCAGCTCTTCCACCAAGCGCACGTCAGCCTGCGCACAAGAGAGAGTGCACCAACAAGGAAACACACACACACACACCGGAAACCCAAAGACGGTAAAAACGCAATTTCAAGTGTTGATCTCACATGGTGTGAAACCCCAACACAAAGGCGACAGCATTCACTCTCTCTCTCTCTCTCTCTCTTCTCTCTGTTTCCCTCTCGCTTTAAATCAGTCACAGGTTGACCAGTATGCTTCCCTCCCTCTTGATGGTATCGCCGCATCAAGAAATTCACACCTCGAAAATACCCCGAATCACAGATCCTTCTGCAAACAACAAGCACTTCTTGCACCTTGTACTGGCAACGAACCAGCGATTTCAGTCAACATGAACGTAGCGGAGGGAGGAAAGGCGTTCCGAGCTTGGTCTGTTCTATCTACCGATGCATAAGCAAACAACGATTTTCATCAGAAGAAAGAGTAGCGCTATACATTAGGCGACCAGCGAGGTCCACAAAACTTGATCAACACGGACGGACGAGAAACACACCGTGCAACACGTTGGCGTAGGGACAACACACGACTCACGTCCACCGTCAGATCGAGCACCGCGGCGTCCTCCTCCCCCGCGTCCGCGCCCGACAAAACGAGCGTCCGGAGGCCGCTCGACGTATCCACCGTCACGCCGGTCGGCGAGCTCCCCTCCCCAAGCGCCGCATCAGCGGACGCAACCTCCAGCAGGCCGCCCGACGACGAGCACGCCTCCGTGTAGCCCAGCGCCGGGTCTACGGCAGCGCAGATTACGCCGCTCACCGCGTCCACAACTGTGTGATGCAAAAAGTGGGGAGGGGGGGAGAAGAGAGACAGACAGAGACAGGGGCAGACGGACAGAAAGAGAGAGAGAGAGAGAGAGAGAGAGAGAGAGAGAGAGAGGGAGGTTCAAACCAAACTCATGCGTGAAGAAAACCAAGAGCACGTTCTACAGTAGCGGCCATCGGTTGCAATGCATGTGCTAAGCCACCACACCAGACAACCAACACAAACGCACGCTCTGTCCCGCTGGCACTAGTATAGGGTGCTGCATCGTCTGTCTGGTGGTACACCCCCGGAGCGAAACAGGCCGCCTGTGCGCAGCATCTGCTGTACCAAAGACCCACCGTCGAAGGAAGTGCCGAGGGTACTCTCGAGCCCGGACGTCCAGGCGTCGTGGGTTGGTGTCCTAAGGCCATAGGCCGCAGTCGGCTCCTCGAGCCACTCCGTCATGAACGGCGTCGATGTAGACCCTTGATTTTCCCGAGTGCCGTTGGGGGGGGGGGGGGGGGGGGGGG